CAATTCCCATAATTTTTAGGTCATAATACATTCTCCTAATTAGGTGGCATCTTGAGTGATAAAAGCTTGTATACCTTTGAAGTTTCATTGGGAAATTTTATATCGATTTTTAAAATTGGTTAGAAGGATATGTAGATGACGGTCAATAAATAATTGCAACTGAATTTCATTATTTTATGTCAAATATGATATGTTCGCTTGCAGAAGTGTTTCTTTTATGAAAGTGCGCAATATTTTTTTGGCAAAGTTGTCAATAAGTTCTTGATTACAAGTAAAAATTTAATAACTGTTAAAATCAGTCTAAAATAACCGATGATGGGTGTAGTCCTAATTTCTTGAAACCTTAAATAGCTTACAACTTGCATCATTCTTTTCTAATCCTAGATCAAGTTAGAATATGATATTCCTTTCAAAGTTAGTGGTTATTACATCGTTTCTCTCACAACTTCTTTTGCCTATGTATGGCTTGGTTTTGGTGGGATTGGATCGGCTATATAGTACAAAGTATGATCACCTATTGTTCTTTCTCCCCAGCAAATAATATGCACACCCCCAAATGAAATTAGCCAGCTCTTGAGCATTTTGCCCATACGTACTGCCCGTATTATAGTAGTAGAGTACGATATATCAAAATATGTATGGTAGTATATATAGTATATAGAGAGAGAGAGAGAGAGAGACAGAGGATGAGAACAAGACCCTATAACTTAAGTGAGGGCCACCAAAAGTTCCTAGCCACACATATAATATTAAAACACTTTTTGTTATAATGACAGAGCCGATCCCTAGGCAATATGATGTGTGTTTAAAAACTTTTGGCTGGACACACTATTCTCTATCTACTTAAGTTGACATAAGTTTTTCACCTATATATTAATATATATATTATATATATATATATATATATAATTATATATATTATAGTATATGTAGAAAAATGGTATGCTGGCTACAAGCACAAAAAGTTGTGTTTCGTAGTGCAGGTGACATAATCCCCTCCATCATTCAAATTGGTGATTCCCTATGCACTCCTTAACCCATGTGAATATGCGTCCCCCATTTGATATGAAAGATGGAGGGATTGCTGCCACGCTCACTACCAAGCGATATCCATTATTTCTCTCTTCTCTCTATATATATATATATATATATATATATATAATATATTATATATAGTATATATAATATATATATATATATGATATATATATCGCTAACATCATATTGTTAATCGTTTCTCTTTCTATACACATGCCTCGCCCCAACCCCACCACCTTCCCCCCTCTCTTCTTTTTTCTCTCACACATCACCGCACACAACCTAACCCCGGGCCCACATGGTGATATGTTTATTGTACACGGACTTGACTAGTATATGCTAACATCATATTTGCTTAATCGCTTTTCTTTCTATACACATGCCCCCCCCTCCCCCCTCCCCCGCCTCTCTCACCGCCACACACCACCCCGCTCACATGTGTGTTTATGTACACGGACTGATATACATACAGAATAAAGTACCTCCATCTTTTAAAATTTGTTGCAGTTAAAATCATCCGCATGTGTATTTTGGGTTGTTGGTTTCAGCTCATGTTGGTGATCCTGGTTTCTATAAACTTGAAATTTGAAGCTTCTTTCTTAATATGACTCATTAGGGGAAGTTGCATGATGTATTCAATCGATAACTAGAACCCATTTTCAGATTTGCCTGCATAAGGAAACCTTTCCCTTTAAGTTCCTCCACGTGATTCCTGGAAGAATTGGAGGAACTTAACAGGAGATCTTTAGGCGTAGCTTTTAGATGTCGGTAGAATGCGTTATGCACCTTCCTCTAATGAATGTGTATTAACAGAGGAAAACGATTTCGATTGAAACTTCTAGAAATGAAGTATTACTAACAAACAGATGCCGAAAACGTGAAATCATCACCAGAATATACACATGGAGATGATCTAACCATAATACATGTCAAAGAGGACGGGTATTTAATGTATATACAAGCACATTAATAATTTATACATAAGAGGGAGGGCTTTGACGGGTATTTAATGTATATACAAGCACATTAATAATTTATACATAAGAGGGAGGGTAACTGTCGTCCGTAGAGAGGGGTCTCTGTGTGCGTGTTTCTTTTTAGTTCTTTTTTTATTTTTTTATTTTTTTTTGTGGGTGGGGGGGGGTTGTTTTGGAGGTGGGGCATAATGTGGTGTATATATGGCCAGAAATATGATAAACAGCAGGCAGATTAGTTGCTGGGAGAAAGAACAATAGCTTAATGTGTGTCTTTCTCTAGCTCTCTGTTTCCTTCCTTTTAAGGGAAGATTTATATCTTTATTTTTCATGAACTAAATCTCAGATGGAGTTCATAAGAATAGTCTCGTTTATCATTTTTCATCAGTTAACATATAGCTCTACTTTTCATATATGAAAATTTCTGTAGAATTTATTGTATATTAGATTATTTCTTCTTAGTTGTTATGTCTAGATCAATTACTTTCTTCACTCCCCTGTTCTCATAGTCATTTGTAAATCTACAAATATTTCTTTTGGTTGCTAACTTTCATTTACGTGTTGCAGAGAGAAGTTTGTCGTTTGCTACCTTCTAGTACAAGTGAACTCAAAGGCGTAAGTATACCCTAACTTTTTCACTTGAGCATGTTTTGATGTATGAGCATTTAAAATTTGTTCATTTAAAGTATTGACATGCAGCATGCAAAATCATTTTTATTAGCAGCTTTATTGATGAGCTAATTAGTTTCTATAAAAAGTATTTAACCATGAAAATATAATATGCGGAACCTATATTATAATCATGGAGTCTTATCCCAATTCTTACATCAAGTTAATAAGCATGGACGCAAACTCATGACACAACACGAATAAGGACACGTGACACAAGAATTCCTCAAACAGTAGCACACTGGGATATGAAAACATTACACTAGAAATCAATGCCTCGAACAACATGCTCAAACTCCCAACTCATACTTTCTTTTTGAACCATCTTTTAGGCCACTTACCTGACCAATTTTGTTTTTCTCCACCTTCTAGTTTCACTGTCTGAAAAGAGTTGGGGGCAAAGTTGTATGGGTACCGGTATGGATGCTGATACGGGACACGACAAATTTTTGAAAGACAGTGTATGGGGACACGGCTATTTATCAGTATGTAATGTATATTATATGTATTAAAATTAATAATTTACATAAGATCAATATTGCATTTTCCATTTACATTAGATCAATATATGAGAAATAGGCGTGAAGTGTAGAATATACGTCCAAGAAGTGATATGGATTGTTTTGAATTATAACATGTATTATATAATTGAGTATACACCTGAATAAACATAAGCATATATTTAAGAAGCGTCCAAGAAGTTTCGGTATGGGTATGGGTATGGGTAAGTGTTGGGTACAGGTACGGTTTCCGATTTGAAGAACCCAGGTAACATAGGGTGGAGGTGAATTCTTCCTATTTAAATTCAATCTTAGATCATTTTAAGTGGATGATCCACTCCAATAAAGTTGACCTAATGAGTACACGTTCTGTAAATCCTAGAAAATTACATTTTTTTTTAGATATTAGTCCCTTAAATCTTTCATAATTTTCGTGAATCATTGAAACTAGTATTTAAACCCGTGCAAAGCACGGATCCTAAAAGATTTTCTGTAAATATTTAACATGTTATCAAAATAAAGTATTCTGCTTTAGATATGAAGTATAGTAGTGGAAGTGAACCGAATAATTAATAAATAGTTTGATTATTATTCGTCTAGATATTCGAGCAAGTTCGATTCGTTAACTACTTCATTGACCAAAATTCTAAAGATCAAATAACTCCTCAAAACTGAAATCGAAATGACACAATAAAGGTCTCTTTTTTCATTGCATAAATGTGTGAAAATTCTTATCCAAAATTTAAATATAAAAAGTGAAATAAAGTTATTGTTTCATAAATGTGATGAACCGAGTTGACACTCCGATTCGAATGGCAAGAAACAAATAGTACTCAGTCTATAGGTAAAAGAAATACCTTATACTAACAACTTTCTTGAAATCTGCTTCAAGAGCCCATACCATATACTTGTGAAAATCAAATTTAGGTTTCCATTGCAATGTGTCTGTGGTAAGAGATCCACAAATAATTAAATAAACTAATTTTATTCTGTGTAAGACGTAGGAAGTAGGACATCTATTTGAAAATTTTGAATTAATTACCATGATGAAGCCCAGACTCATTGTGGTGTAGTCTGATTTAGTTACGGATCCATAGAATTGCCAAAAGAATACTGAAGCAAACATAAAATTAATTAGACTTAGAAAATCGGACAACTTCCTGAGAAATCAATAGAATCTTTTAAGAAAGAATAATAATAAATATTGTTAAAGAAATATGAATAAGAAGTTGTAAGAAAAGCATGTAACTAAAAATAGAACAAAAGCATAAAAATGATTAGACGCAAAACTTCCTAAAGTTTTCTAAGAAGTCCAATAATATTCACACTTAATTAGCAGACATCTTCTGAGATAGAATAACAAATACGACTAACAAAATTTTTTGGGTTTCTAATATCAAGATTTCGAAATATGGGAACGACTCAATAATTAATGTAAACAATGGAAAGCAGCATTTTCAATCAAATCATGAATATTCTTGGGCCAACACATTTAAACTGAATATACTTGCTCACCGATTCAGAAAAGATCCATTTTAGCTGAAATTTACATAACATATTGCACAACCAGCTATACCTTCAATTTGAAATTCAAACCAATTGTTTTAAGAGATTGCATGCACGGTCTGGTGAGTTGAGGATCTCATAATAGAAAACTGAGAAGTTAAGAGCCAAGCCAAGCCTTATGGGATGGGTCGGAGCCAATTCAGCAAGAGCAATATCCTACAAATGATGACAATTCAATATAACATGCTTAGCTAATAGCCAATAACTCTTAATTCTACAATAAGAAACCCATTTAATGGGAAAAGTAATACAGAAATTTGATTAACACAAACATACAACGAAGGTAAGCTCCAGTAAATATCATGGCAAAACGATGAGGTTTCTTGACAAATAAAAATATCTCTATCAAACCAAATAAGCCATAAAAAAGGTATTAGAGTATATATACTGCTAACTGCAGGTATAAACGAATGAAACCCAATCAAAGAACTGACCCACCTGTGCGGATTTGTATGCCGTCAGCGTATGTTCAGCAGCCTCTTTTTTGTGAGCCCCAGTCTTAAACTCTGCAAGGTACCTGTTCAGAATTATTCATCAGTTAAAAACAATGTCCTTCTACTTCCAAACCCAAAACCTACTTATAATCTAGAAAGCACAAACCTGTGCAAATTGTACCATTCACTCTATGAATATTGTGATATGATCTTCGATGAAGCCACTCAATTACATGACGATGTGTGTCATTACATTGTACAAAGGGCAAACATATGATTAAATCAACCACAAAAAAAGAGACTACTTTTGTCATCCTAAAGGGGAAAATTCTATTTAAACCAGATGGTTCTCAGAGCATCTGATTAAATCAATTCAACGTAACATTTACTAAAGGAATAACTCAGATGAAACAAAAGGTTCAAGCTTCCAAGCATTATTCTTCTGTACATCACTCTTAAATATGTAATGTCGTAATATATAAGTAACACACAACAACCTTATTTTGCTTGAAAGATGGAATTCTACTCAATTAAACACAATATCAATAGAATTACTAACCTCAAAGTACCAGAATAGGGCCATCTTTGAGGCTTGTAACTGCATTGACTTCTCTAAAGAGTGTGCCTGTATAGCATTTAGGAAAAAGAAAGTGTAAATTAAAACATCAGGATTTCATAGCGGAGGATACGGTGGCATAATTATGAGAAATTGAACGAAGAAATACCAACCACTTCCCTACAGGCAAATTAAAATTTATAGCACCAACTTCATTGAAAAATATAAAAAGATAAACACTTTAAAGCGATCCCAGATCCCATTCATTAATAGAACAAAATAAACACTATAAAACAGAAATTTCATCAAATGGGTTATTTGTAAACAATCCACGTACGCATCTTAAACCACTCGCTAATCAAAGATGAATTTTTGAATGAAACCCATGTCAACCCCCCTCAACACAAACCCAAAGCAGTAATCTGGAAACTAATCACAATATAATAATTCAAATGCAGCGTTAATTCGGAACCTGGGGAGAGGAAGAGGGAAATGAGGCTCGTTTGCGCGGGAAGCTTGCCGGAGAGAGGAGGAGGAGGAGGATGGCGACGGGGAGGTGAGCGCGAGGTCTGAGGACGGTGGAGGAAGTATTTGACGATGAAGATGTCAGAGGAGGAGAGGGGGTATGGGCGACAAAAGAAGGGTTGGTTCTAGGGATTTGTTTGACGATCGGAGATATCACCGACGATGGGATCTGAGATTGATGATGAAGAGGTGGAGTTCTCCATTGTTTTTGGGTTTAGATTTGGTTGGGTTCGAAGAGAGAATGGAGATTGGGGGAAGTTCAGAGAGAGAGAGAGGGAGATAGAAAGGGTAGTTTGGAGAACGTGGTAATGTGGGAAGTTTGGAAAATAAGCGTGTGAGAGAATTTCGGCTGAGTTGGCAAATCCCTATGATTGGTCCAACAGTGATTTACTATTCATTGAGTTCTCCTTTAGTGTTCTCTTTTAGTTAAGAAGAAGTAGATTGCTATTAGGTCCCCCAAAAATTTAAGTTATTTTGAAACTGGTCCCTCCATTCATTGAAAATGTTAACATGTCCCCCAATTCTCAGAAGTTGTCTCAAATTAATCCCTCTAATAATTACTTTTAGTCTTGATTTGCGGGACTAATTTCAAAATAACTTAAGAATTTGAGACCTAATAGAAAGTTCAATGATTTGAGGGTCTAATATACGAATGTGAAAGATTTAAGGGACTAATATCGAGAAATCCTAATAACAATTGCCCATGCAGAAACTATGCAAATGGATATACAAAAGTAGCATGTTAATTAGGTCTATGATTCGGGGCATACAAAATGGATATACAAAAGTAGCATGTTAATTAGATCTATGATTCGGGGCATACAAAAACACTAGATCATGACTAAAAACTTCAAACTTAATGCAGTTCCATGATTTCATATCGTATCTGAAGCAAAGGGATTGTGCCGGGGTGATCAAAGTTACAGCAGGTAGATCCCTTTGGGCAAGATTACTCTTCATTCTCCCCAACTCGGCGGATACCTGCTCATTGTTGGGCATTTCACCACATCCAGCTGACTGCCTCATTGCACTGGTCTTGCCAAAGGATACAAACACTGATGGAGCATAGTCTTTAAACCATGAAGTTTTGTATTATCTGAGAGTTTTTTTATCTATATCAGAGAAGAACACATGTATATACTGGACTATTGTTGTGATGTGTGTATTCTTAAGGTAGGTAGAGTTGAGTAAATATCCTCGGAAAGTGTAGTCGAAGAATTTAAACTTATCATCTTCCATGTCGTTTTGTATGTACGATATTGTAGTGTATGAAATTTTGTCATGCAGTTGTTGAGATCTCCAGTGTAGTCTGTTGTTATTTCAGGGGAAAACTAGTTATGAGAGGAGTGAATTTGAGTTGGTGCCTAACAGATTGTGTCTGTTGATTTCATCTCTCTCTTGGAGTTATTTTAGATAAAAGGTATTATATATGTTTTATTATTAGTGAACTTGTTTTACAAGTCAATCATGACTTTGTCAATAGCGTGTTAATGTAAAAAGTTTGTGATTAAATTGATTCACTATCAAATTATGTTACCACTTCATACGCTCGATGATTGAGGATGAGAAGTTAAAGTTGGTGAAGATTTTGGGAAGCTAAAATCCTGCAGATATGTTGACTAAAGCCGTCACCATTTAGAAACTAGAGTTGTGCGTAATTTCAGTTAGCATTCATATGTAGGAGATGAGGGCAGAGCCACACAGGAGAAGATGTTTGTTAAGAGAGAGCTTGCTAATGGCAATTTGATCTCTAAGTGGGTGATTGTTGGAAGAAGAGATATAGATCCAAACCTCGGCGAGCTTGAGCGACTTCAGGCGATGTCTAGTCGACGACGCAGGCGAGACGACGAGCTTCTGGAGAGTCGACACAGACGAGAGCAAGGCTCTGTAGGAGAAGTCGACGACTAGGGCAGGCGAGCTTGTGACGAGCTCGAACGAAGGCCCTACAGGCAAGGTCGATGCGAGGCGCAGACGAGCTCAAGTTGGATCTCGTAGGCGGAGCGAGCGGATCGCAGGCGAGTCGACACAGGCGAGCTTCGAGCGATGAGCTCGCCTGTAGGCGAGGTGTAGGCGACCCCACGACTCAGGCGAGGTCGTGTGTGGGCTGCAGGCGAGGTTGACGTAGCCCCACAGGCGAGGAGCTCCTTTGTAGCGATTTACTGAGGAGAGAGAGATTTTTCTTGTTGGAAAATCTCACGCATTTAAGAAGAACAGAGAGTTTCTGTTGCTTCTCTTTTGAGAGATCTTAAGTTTGAGATTTGCTCTTTGCAACTTTGTAATCTTCTTTGATATAAAAAAAATTTATTTGTATGGCTCCCGAGAACGTAGGCAGGTTGCCGAACCTCGTTAAAACTCGGTGTTCTCTTTTCTTGTAATTATTTTAATTTGCTGTGATTTCTTCTTTCTATTGTCTTAACACAAGATCCGGTAGGGTAAATTTCGTAGATGATTCATATTTGACAGGTGGTCGAGTAGCTTGCATTCCCCGTAGCTTGCATTCCCCAACAACAGTAGAGCTAAATTTTTGATAAAACCAAAGGAGGCATAACCTGTGATTGCTGCAGACTAGTTTGAGCCTTTGAGGGTAGGGGAAAAAACTGGATTAGAATAAAACAAGTAAAACTTCCTAAGTTAAAGAAATTACGTCAAAAGATTAAAAGAAATGCAGTTTTATTTTTGGGAAAATTGCTTCAAGGCCCCAAAACTAAATTGGTGATGTGTCCCAGCCCCTTGAACTTTTTCTAATGTGCTTTTTCCCCAAAAATGAAAAATCCATGTGAATCAGCCCCATTTACAATTTCCAAGACAAAAACTTCCCAAACTACCCTCTTCTTCTTCTCCAGATCTTCTCTAGATCTACTCCTCTTCCTACAAACCCATCTCCTCTTCCACCCTCTCTCTAACCTCACTCGAAACCTCCAACACCGCCGCTACCTCCGTCACCCCTGTCTCTACCTCGCTAGGGGGTTCTGCAAGAACGGCAACAGGTGCAGGTTCCTCCACGACCTCAACGAGGACAAGCTCGACGCCGCCATGGCCTCGCCGCCGCCGCCACCGCTAGATTTCCGTACCCCCTTGGGCAGCTTGCGGATGTCCCCGTTGTCGCCCATGAACCAGAGGTAGGTGAACGACGGCTGACCGAGTTCTTTTCTTAGGCTTTCGACGGTGGGTTCCGTGGATTTTGATGACTCGTTTTGATTTCAGGGCGGCTGCGACGACGTTAGGGGTTAAAACTGATTTGGGTTCTTGTTATTTTCTATAGTATTTATGGGCCAGTTCAAGATGTGAGGATCCCCTAATCTCAACATGTTGGGGCTTGGATGTATATCAAAATCAAGAAAGAAGTAATAAACTCAAGGTGTGGTATATATAAATGTTGTACAAATTTGTGATGGTGATTTCTTGTGTCTGCTGTTGTTTGTTGTCATGTAAGCTCCAGTTGAACTGAGAAGGAGTTTGATGTTGTTCTCTGTGCAGTTAACTGTTGTGGTTAGCATGTTAACTCTTGTGTTTAACATGTTAACTCTTGTGGATAACATGTTAACTCTTATGGATAACATGTTAACTCTTGTGGCTATATGTTAACTCTTGTGGATAACATGTTAACTTTTATGGATAACATGTCAACTCTTGTGGATAACATGTTAACTCTTGTGGCTATATATTAACTCTTGTTATAGTTAACATGTTAACTCTTGTGTTTAACATGTTAACTCTTGTGGATAACATGTTAACTCTTATAGATAACATGTTAACTCTTGTGGCTATATGTTAACTCTTGTGGATAACATGTTAACTTTTATGAATAATACGTCAACTCTTGTGGATAACATGTTAACTCTTATGGCTAACATGTTAACTCTTGTTGATAACATGTTAACTCTTGTGGATAACATGTTAACTCTTGTGGCTAACATGTTAACTCTTGTGGCTATATGTTAACTCTTGTGGATAACATGTTAACTTTTATGGATAACATGTTAACTCTTGTGGTTATATGTTAACTCTTATGGCTAACATGTTAACTATTGTGGATAACATGTTAACTCTTGTGACAAACATGAATTATAGTTAACAGACAGTTTATGAATAACAGTGAACAGATAATTCACCGAGTTCTTTTCTTAGGCTTTCGACGGTGGGTTCCGTGGATTTTGATGACTCGTTTTGATTT